TTTGGCAATAAGTTACTCTTTGCAATTAATTTATAAATGACTCATTTTTATGAATCGTAATAACAATCAAATATATAACTGTTTACTAATGGACATTCGCTAATCAAAATATTTATTTCGTAATTAATTCTTACAAAGCTGTAGCTTGCAAATCGACACCATCGTCAAATGCTTTTGCAATTAAATTTTTCCAGGGCGGATTTTCATATTTTTCTCTGAGAGGAGCCAATCTTTTCAACAGAGTTTTACAAGCTTCCAGAACTGCCTATAATTCAAATGATTAAAGTAATATTTATAACACTTGCAATTTTAATTATGATTAAACAGCTGTTTACATAACAACAAGCTTCACTCGTTGAACTTCCTCCAGTTAAGTAGGCGTTTGGAGCAGTTAATGCCGATGAAGGTTTAACTTGCACCATAGACAGAGGCAATCCCAAAGCATAAGCACAAACTTGTGCAGCCTATTTTAGAAATAATCGAAATATAAAGAGAAAATCTTATAGTCCAATATGTTAACTATGTTTTTTAATTTTACCTTTGTATTAATTCCTTGACCGCATTCAATTCCACCATGTGTTACGATTGCTGTTCCATCGCCATGGTAAATACATACCATTGCGCAAAAATTACCAAGATATTCCAAGGGATATATTAATGGCACGATCGAAATCCCACGTTTGCGCCAACGGTTTTTGTTTATTAAATTTATTAATTTCAGTTTTGCGGTGGTCGTAATCTAAAAATTGAGATAGTGAAAATTCTTGCAATATTTTAACTGTTTTTGGGTTTTAAATAAAAATGTTATTTGATGAATGAAATAAAAATTATGATTATTATTGACCTGTTTTCTTCCTAAATTCATCAATAATTTCTAAAAGCAAATTATCACCTTTGCCTCATATTCTCTATCCTCACTTCTAATGGCTCTAATCCAAGAACAAATGCTATATGTTCCATTACATTTTCAATCATGGCAACTGCTTCAGCGGACCCTGCAATCATAAATGTTTATTCAATTAATGTTTAAATAAAACAGTTCACATATAATAAAAAATAAACCTGGAGCGCGACAAAATGTATTAGATGGAGTATCAGTTACTACAGAATAAGCTTTTATATCCCAGCTGCTCATATCATAACAATTACTTATAACGCCCATTGTAAATGCTAAAACACTTTCATTTTCTGAACAACCATGATCTTGGTAAAAACTATTTTTTAAATATTGAATTTTGCCACGTTTATTAAAAGCCACCTTAAAAAGAAATATATACGTTATCAAAGAAATATATCTAGTTGTTTGCTAAAATATTAGGATATACTTCGTAATCATTGATACACCCGTATCTTTTTCCGAAAGCATTCATTGTATCTTCAAAACTTGTAACGATTCGTATGGGTTTCTTCAATTTATAAGCAGCTAAAGCACATGCTGCAGCCACCAAATTGCTGCGAGATATTTTCATACCATAACCACCACCGATTCGCCTCACAGCCAAATTAACCCTAACGTGAATATATAATGAGGGTTTTTACAATTATAAAAGTAACGATAATCATAATTAAATTTATATATTCACTGAAACAAGTCATTATATTTATTATACGAGTCATTCTGAATCATTTGACACCCATTTGATCTTTCTTTGAAGATTTCTCAAAAACATTTGCACCGATTTCTAAATTTTAAAAGCCATGGAATGTAACTCGATAAGGACTCGTTCTAATTAGTTTTTTGCGACAATATTATATTTGCATACCATAATATATTTACATGCCGATACTTATATAAGTGAAGATATAAACTAGTTGGTATTGGTATTTTGCCCTGAGGCAAGTTACATATACTTCCCTATATGTATAAATAATCGACTTATTCAATAAAATATAAATTAATTTATGATTGATTAAAAGTATTCCGAGTGGTTTTATTACACATGATTGAAAACGAACGAACACTATCTTTATACCAAGTAAAAAACTACTCATTTTCTTAAACTTTGATGATTTTTTAAAATCAAACTACTTGTCGTAAATCCGTAATATTTCAGTAATTTCTATAAGACCACGATATATATCGCCAAAAAAAGTTTCATAAAAATCAGCTTAAATTTTTTTTCAACAGTTAATTATCAGTATCATTCCCAACTAATACCTTTCAAACAGTTTTTGATTTTTTAAAATCGATTCCGTAGTATGAGCTTAAATGTGAACGAGAAGTTAAACACTTTTTTTCAAATCACAAAGAAACGGCTTGGCAGATCGTCGCACAAAACTGACAAACGATAGTCTTAAAATACACCAAATGGCTTTTAAATTTCTGAAATCTCTGAAATTTCTGAAATTTTGACAAATGTAAAAAAACAATACTAATTTTTGCAAATTTTGAAGAACATTTAAAATTAAACGACTTGTCGCAGAGCCGTAATATTTTAGTATGATCTATAAGACTATGGTATCTACCGTAAAAAAATAATAATAAAACTCGTCGAAAATTTTTCTTTAACACTTTATTACAAGAAAACCGATCTTTACCAAAAACTAATCTATATGTTTCCGCAAAGTTGATAAACTCTAGTCCTCTATCTATCTATTTTTTCATACAAAACTAAAAATAACTTGATGTCATTGCTATTGGTTCTAGACATGGATAATAGACATGGATAATAGACATGGATAATAACTTGTTTCTACTATTACTAATATGGAAGAAACTAGCTGTAAGTGGAATTCTGTCTTAAGGCAATTAAGGCATCGTGCCTTAAGGCAAATTGCTGGAACTTCCCGTGCCAAAAATTATTATTTTTTTAAAAACGATTAACATTTTTGAAAAAATTTTACTTCGAAAAAATAAGATTTTTTAGAAATTTTAAATTGGACAAAAAATTACTTTTTTTGAAAAAAAAAATTTTTTTTTAAAAAAAATTTTTAAACAATTTTTTTTGTAAAATTTTTTTTTGGAAAAAATGTTATCTTCATTTTGACATATTTTGGAAGATCTGAACTTTTTTTCAAAGCAATCGTACTGCCTTAACTGCATAGAGACAAAATATAAAGCGCGTAAGCGCCGCGTCGCTGTCTAACGGAAAAACATTGGTACGGAACCCATAGGAATGTAAACAAAACTTATACTTATTGTTAAAATCTCAATAAAATATCTGATAATTTGATATGCATATGTCTAATGTCTAATGATTATTGTTGACCGCCAAATGTTATTTTTTTTAGTTTTTTTACTAGATCTCCGAAACCGCTAGACCTATCTTCATGAAAATTTGATCAAATCTTCATCCTGTTAATACAAGTAAAATGTTTTTTGAATTATTCCAATCGGACGCTCCGTTCTCTTAAAAACTGAGTTACCGTTTTTGGCCCTTTTTGCCCCATATCTTCGGAATGGCTAGACCTGCCTTTGACAAAAACTAATCAGCACGTCTCCTTATCAATACGAATCGAATGTTTTTTTGAATTATTCAAATTGCTTCATCCGTGTTCCCGAAATCGTCGACGAAAATTTGTATCCGAACACACACACATGGACGCACACACACACACACACACATACATCAATTTTCTCCAAGGTATGCCAACATATTCAGAAACCTCTGAAACGTGAAGATATATAAAAATTTTCATTTTCGATTTTTTTGCGATTACTTACCCTATGGAAAGTTAATTATAAATAAATCAATTTATCATCTCCAGAACATTAACAATCGTCATTTCATTTCGAATCAAATTCCAAAAAAAAATAGTTGCCAAATTTACACAAAATTGAAAAAGTGCTCCCGCATAGTCACAGTCTAAACGCATTTGCAAATAATTCTTTGCGACATTTTCACTTATACTGTGCTCAGCTTGGCGGCATTTTCACATTTTTCAATAATTTTCACAAAATTGAAAAAGTGCTCCAGTACACAAACAGTCTAAACGCACTTGCGTAAACATTTCTACCAGAGTGGCGCTTAGACTGTGCTTAGCTTGGGTGATTTTTTGAATTTTTAGTCCAAAATTACAAAAAAAAATTTTTGAAAAAAAATTAGAAACAAAAAATTTTTTTTTCCAAAATCAATTGTTTTGTTGAAAAAAGCAGAAAGTTCTTTGAATCATTTAAATCGGACGCTTAGTTCTCTCAAAAACAGCCATTTTTTTTAAATTTAGCTCGGTATCTCCAAAACCTCTGGGCCTACCTTTGCCAAAAACTAATCAGCACATCTCCCTATCAATAGGAATCGAATGTTTTTTAAACCATTCAAATCGGTTGATCCGTTCTCTCAAAAACTCGCTTTCTATTATTTGCACTCTTTGCTCCATATCTCCGTAACGGCTGGACCTGCCTTTGCCAAAAACTAATCAGCACATCTCCCTATCGATAGGAATCGAATGTTTTTTAAACCATTCAAATCGGTTGATCCGTGCGCCCGAAAACGTGGACGAAAAAAAGCGGACATACAAAACACACACACACACACACACACACACACACACACACATCCATTTTTTCTGAAGTATGCCAAAATGTTCAGAAACCTTCAAAACGTCGAGAAATGTAAAAATTTTTGATTTCGATTTTTGGACGATTACTATAACTTACCCTACGGGAAGTTAAAAAATCAATTAACAAATGAATAGAATGGAAGTTATCACTTCTATGCAAAAATAAATATATTATCTTAATGATATAATGTACTTGCAAACAGGAATGTTCAAAACATCAGCTACTGCAATTTGAACTGCATCTATCCATTGTGTAGAGGAATAGACATCTATGCCATCTTCAATGGGAACACAAATTGCTACATGTGTTTCCATAGTATAATGATATTGAGTTCCCATTTCCATCGTACCTCTGATTATATTATCAATATTTTCACCTGAAAACAAAATTTATTTTTAATAGCTAATTCACAAATCAAACAATTATTGTGAAGAGAAATTTAACTGTTAACAAAAGTTAGATTGAGTTTCTATAAAGCTTTCTAATTAATCAGAAATTCAGATATTTTCTTTAGATCAGGTATAAGATATCTGTGATATGTTCAATAGCAAAGGGATTCAATCCTGATCATTTTTAAATAATTGTTGATATGTGAAGCTTTTGAATCCAAAGAATCTGGATAAATTTAGTATAATTGTATTTAATTAGTATTTTTTTTTTTATTATATATCACAGACGTCAAAACAAATACTTGAAACATTCACATGTATTTTTCGATTTATTAACTCAATTATATTATTTCATATTATATAAAATAAAATATATATGATTTTTTCAATATTTAAAGAAAAATTATACTAATAAGATTCCATCTAGATTATTTGTCCATGGGCAATGTAATTTTCGAAACTTATATATTTGTTAAGAAATTTATTCTCAAAATAAAAAAATCAATCGTTACATCAAATTTAAAACTAATCTAAACTAAAATAATCAACTCATGTACTCGTATAAGTATTTAAACGCAAGCAACTGAATGAGGCTAAACTAATATCAGTGTTCAAAATTATTGTTTTGTTATTTTATACACCTTGATTTTTGGCATCCACTGTCATTTTGCATTTGACTCTATTTTCTTTGTCATTCGTTATAATATCTTGAACATTTATTTTCGGATTTCCTTCATGGGAATACTGTATATCAATTAATTTTGCTGCAGCTACTGCCAATGTCTGCGATGCTGCCACTATTACGCCGATAGGTTGACCAACATACTTCACTGTCTTTTCAGGAAATAATTCTTCTTCTTCTGATGCCAATAACATAGTCATGTTGATAAATGTGTTTTTACCTGGAATGTCTTTGGCGCTAAAGAAAGCAACGACACCTTCTGTTGCCTTGAATATAAAAATCCTTTAGAATGTGTTACAATTAATTAACAGAACATATATATCTTACTAGAGCTTTTGATACATCTATTTTGGTTATTTCAGCTCCTGCTTTTGTAGATAATACAAATGCCCCATATAATTCATTTGGAAATGGTGGAATGTCAATTATATACTGAGCTTCACCGGAACACTAAAATCGAAAAGTATATAACTTATATAATTACAAATGCAATTAATGAATTTTCATTCAGTTTCTATGATAAAAAAGATAATATGAAGAACCATTGTGCATTTATAATCGATGCATGTGCAACTGATTTGTTTTCAAGAAGCATCAGACCTGAATTAAATTTTTATTTTTTATATTATGTTACCTGTGCCAAACCCTCAATTTTGGAAATCGGTTTCTGAAGTGGCCAACTACTTTTATTTGTGTCATACTTTTGGTGCCCGGAAGACAAACCTCTGAACAACAGTTCTCTTCCAAATACGTTTTTAGATGATAAATTTTTTGTTGGACAGGAATGGAGAACAAACTGTAAATAAAACAATAAAAATTTATAAAAGGTTAAATTAAATTTTTTTATGATTTATAAAATAATGTTGAAATAAAGATTGGTTTATGTTTTGGATTTTAGTGACTTTTAGAGCATATAATTGGATTGCACTATTAAAATTTACAAAATCATTATTGCAAATCAAAATGATTTATGAAATTTATAGTGATTTTAGTGATTTTTTGAACATATATATTGGATTGCACCATTAAAATTTACAAAATCATTTATCAAAAAACACAATTCAATATATTTTTTATTATGGAAAATATCAAATCTCCGCTGCTAATAATATAAATAATATCTTAAGTTAATTTTTAATCTAATCTATTTTTTATTGAAATCGATCTTTAAATTTAAATCTAAAATATTAAGTATTGTACGTTTAATCAGAAATTTGTAAAATTACCTTGTAGAATAAAGATATTGCTAATTTTTTCTATATTCAGGAGAAGCGTCAGGAAGAATCCAATCAGGCTCTATTTCTGCATGAAGTGCTTCTAGTGTTGACTTTAAAACATTGTTGTCGAATAAATTCATACCCAAGAGTAATTTCTCAGTTTTGGTTGCATGAATAAACTAAAAATAATAATACTAAAGTTTATGCTAAGTAATTTTCTATAAACATTCATATTACCGTAGGAGCAATTCCTCCAAAAACCAATTTAGCCTTTTCCACAGTTTCGGTATTAGAGTTTAAATTCAGACAAAAACCAGCGTTTACATAAGCGTGTGCATTTTGAGCTCGAATCATTATCTAAAAAATAATATTGTGAAATAAAACAAAATAATTTTTAATAGTTGATATTATCACACCTTGTAAGTTTTGAGATTATATTTTCCTCTAATCGGAGAAAGAATAATATTCACAATCAATTTGTTAACCATATCCATATCCAGAAAGTTTGCTGGAGAAACGATGAATTTACTTCCACATATATCCACTAAAATAATTTAATATATGTTAAAAAAATTTATAAAATATTTATTAAATATTTTTCATGAGAAAGAATGATTAAATAGATTGAGCATACATAATTGTTTAGTTTGATAATTCGGCTCATTTAATTTTCTTAAGTACAATTTTTTCAGAATACTTCAAAGACTAATAGTGCACATACGATTTAACATTACTTACTAACAGCAAGTTTATTGTTTACGATCTAAATAAAATATGATGAAAAACGCGTAATTAATTAATTACTTAATTACTTAAATTAAGTTTAGTATTACATAATTATACATACTGATTGTCAGTTTGGCTTCAACCAATTCTAATATCAAAAATATATCCGAAGGAAATTCAGGATGCTGATGTTTTAGCATCAAATTTCCTGCTATAGTTCCAACCTGAATTATGAACAATAAAAGTTTTAATGATGATTTTTTAAAATAAACTATTAAAATAAAAATTACTTACATTACGAACAGGAACATTAGCTACAAGATCAATGTGCTTTACTAACTCCAAAACGTACTCGAAACCCTTAACTTTACCATATTCTGTCAAGTACAGCATGGTTTCGGTTAAATTAATATTGGCTCCTAAAATTATATTACTATTGATTATATGCTTTCTTAGTTCTGATACACCATTAATATCGATATAAAGCTTTGGAGATATTTGATTTCGATAAACGCCATTTGCAGTGTTTCCAGCGATTAACATGTAAGTTACACCTTGATGCTCTCTTAAAATATCAATAATGTTATGTATTGATACAACTTTATACCAAATAGCATCATCGATTAAAATTTTAAAATAATTTGGCGAATTCAAGAAACTACATTTGTTCAGCAATCCCTTAGTATTTGGATTGATCTGTACGTTGCCTAAATCTTCTATATCCTGTTAGCAATAATTGTAATTAAATAATACATTTTTCTCATGAGTAGATATAAAATGTCTTTACTACCATATACACATACTTTAAATTTATTACATAAAGCTGGATCTGCATCTGATGCTAAAGATTTAAAAGCATCCAGAATTGGTCTATAGCCTGTGCATCTGCATATATTACCGCCAAACGAGTTTTCAATTTCGGCCATTGTAATTTTTTCATTATTTTCCAACAAACTGTTAAATCATAATACATACATATATAATAATTTATATTCATAGAATTAATAAAGAATATATTTTGTTATATACCTATTCATATTCATTACCATTCCCGGGCTGCAAAATCCGCATTGAGTGCCATGATATTTTGCTAATGTTATTTGTAATGGGTGATAACCTATTTTCTGGTTTCCAAGACCAGATACAGTTTTTATTTCCCAACCATGACAAGAGAATACTGATACAAGACACTTTAACAAAATAATGTTCAGTTATAAATTATTATTTGGTCAAGATTTGACCAGGGCTTTTCTATTTAATCCGGAACCCGTCAGGGTAGGGGGTATAAATGTATGAATATAAATGCCTGTAACTGAGGGACTAGTTAGAGTAACAAGTGGAGAAAGCAGTAGATTTAAGATCAATATATATCATAAACTAAATACAGTAGAACCTCAATTCGCGATTATCCGAACTACCAACCGCGACCAATTTATATGTATGTACATATCTACAATTCGAATTTTAGCAATTTAGTACACGTATGTAATGTTATCGAAGAAAATATGTATGTACAAATATAGGACAGTGTTAATTTCTTAATAAACATTGATTTTCGTTGATATCTATGTATGTAATTTTAATTTTAATAAATACACAACATTAGTCCTCATACATTCGATTATCCGGATCTTAGATTACCCGAATGCCCATCGACAATAATTAGTCCGGCTAATTGAGGGTCTTCTGTAGTGGTTTTATTCACATATCTTATGGTGATGGAATATTTATAATTTACTGTCCGCTTAATATCTAATTAATCATAGTGATTCTCACATCCTCACCATTAATGATGTTTAAATTGATTTATGATTTGAAAATTTACATAGATACTATTAACTATATAAAAAAAATTAAATTGCGACCCCCATAAAATTCGACTAGAGTGCGTTCAAGAGCGTCATACACATTTACAAAATAATATAGTGTGTTTTGCAAAATTAGTCTGATATATTTGGGTCCTACAATTTCAAATGATAACATCCAGCAATATATTTATAAATATAATTTTACTATCTATGATACTTCTGATACATAATTATTTGTAAACTAAAATAACAATTCGATCCAATATTATAAATTCCAATAAATTATTATATCATCAGTATTATTAATAGGTACTTATATAAAATATATAATCATTTGTACTTATAATAAATTAAATATTGATTATAGTTACTGCTGGAACAATAGATGACGTAATGAGTATCTCTTTGCAGTTCGTTAATTGATGTTTTACATGTTTGAACCAATTTTTACAATATCAAAATTGTTTTTCCTATTAATTTAATTTCGGTATGATAACTAGTGGGGTGCATGGCATCGTGCCTTAAGGCAAATTGCTGGAACTTCCCATACCGTAATTAAAAATCTTGGTACGGAACCCAAAAAAATTCACACAAAATGTGTACACATTATTAAAATCTCTATAAAATATCTGATAATTTGATGCCAAATGACATTTTTTTAACTTATTTTTATTGAGACTCCATAATCGCTAGACCTGCCTTCCCAAAGATTTAATCAGTTGTTTATCTTGTCAATACAAGTAAAATGTCTTTTGAATTATTGAAATCGGACGCTTCGTTCTCTCAAAAAATAATCAGCACGTCTCCTTATCAATACGAATCGAATGTTTTTTAAATTATTCAAATCGGTTGATCGTCAATGAAAATTTGTATCCGCACACACCCACACATACACACATACGCACACATACATCTATTTTTTCTAAGGTATGCCAAAATGTGCAAAAAACTTTGAAACGTAAAGATATGCAAAAATCTTCGTTTTAGATTTTTTTGCGATTACTATAACTTATCCTACGGTAAGTTAAAAATATTATTAACTGCATTACTTTTATCATTTTAGGTATAATTTTACCGAATTTACAGCAAAATTGATAATCCTTCCGCTGACTGGATGCAAATTAGAAGCAGAAATAATACATGCACCGCATCCTCCTTCGTTGCACATAAATTTTACATCCTTCAGGCCAAGGTGATCCCGCAAATATGAATTTAGCGATGTATTTCCGGGCAAATCGTGTGTGACTAACATTGAATAATATTTTAAAAAGATAAAGTTATATTCGAATTCAATAGAATTATTCAATACATATCAATACTCACCTGTGTGAATTTCACCATTTACTCTAATAAGTATTTTCCCAGTTCTAAATGTAACAGAAAGGTTAGTAAAGTTTAAAGATAATATATTACTGAAAATTAACCTTTGCACTATGCTCACTTAAATTTTCAATTATGAAATGTAGTCTATCATTTAAAATATACTACATTATCTTAATAAATATAAAATTTCACGTTACAAGAACTTGAAATCTCCACTGTATATAATATTAACATGATGGAATTCTGCCCGAAGGTAACCCTTAGGTAATATTTTAGTTGGTTTGGGAGTTTTTCTGTGTATTCAACAAACATATTTTTATTTATATTTTTTATGTAAAAATAGATATATCTAATGCTTGAAACCAGGTTGACCAAACGAAAAACCGAACCCAAGTATAATACAATACAAGGCAGAAACCATGTTTTCTTGCATAAACTAAGAAATTAATTAAAAACAATTCAGTATTTAATAAAATTTTAAATAAATTTTAGTTTATAGTATTGAAAATATTAAGAAGTTTTATAGATACCTTATATTCATGATCATGGATCAGACTTTAACGACTAGAAGTTACTAAGAACAACTCTGCATTATACCGTTATATTTATATTCATATTTATTTTATATATAACAATAAGTACAAAATGAATAATAAATCACACAATGAACCTCTGCAAATAATGCAATAACATTGAAGTACTTGTGGTTTTACAATGTGGTTTCGTTCCTTAGACGTATCATTTATGTACATGGGGTATCAAATTGTAAATGTTTGATGGTCAACATTTGCATTCAATAAAATTTCTTCAGGCGTCGTTGGAGCTCCTGAAATAATCATGAAAATTATACGTTTTTCCAAGAATCAATACTTAGATTTTGTTTCATGTAAAGATTGTAAAGAAGTAATTTTTTCTAACCTAAAGAAAACCATTCAGCGCGGTTGCCACCATTAGCATCGGCTCTTGCAGATTGCAAAGCATGCCGAATTGCACAAACTGCAACAAAGGCCATACAAATCGATGGTTCACCAGTGCCTAAATTAATGTATTTAATATATAATAACTATCTTTATTTAATTATTAACTTCCCGTAGGGTGAGTTGTAGTAATCGCAAAAAAATCGAAATCAAAAAATGCATATCTTTACATTTTAAACATTTTGGCATACTTTAGAACTAAGATGTGTGTGTGTATGTATGTTTGGATACAATTTTCGTCCACGATTTTGTAAACACGAATCAGCCGATTTGGATAATTAAAAAACATTTCATTCCTATTGATAAGGAAACGTGCTGATTAGTTTTTGGCAAAGGCAGGTCAAGCCGTTTTCCAAGATACGGGGCAAAATGTGCCGAAAATGGTAATTCAATTTTTGAGATACGAAAGTCTGATTTGAATGATTCAAAAAACATATTTGTATTTAAAAAATGAAGAACTGATATTATTTTTGAAAAAGCAGATCTACCGGTTATGGAGATCCAATATAAAAAGTACGACAATGCTATTTTTGCTTAAAAACGATAATTAGACTTATGCACAACAAATTGTCAAGTATTTTATAGAGATTTTACTAATAGAAACAAATTTTTATTCACATTTCTATGGGTTCTTTATTTGTTCCTCGGTTAGCATGCGACGAGACGCTTCCGCGCTTCGATTTTTCGTCTCTACGCAGCTAATTCAGCTTTAAAATTACTTAAAAAGGTTTAAAATCTTCAAAAAGTTCAAAATTCTCGAAAATCTAATTTTTTCATAGTTTAATATTTTTTTTCAAAAATTTTAATTTTTGGTATGGGAAGTTTCAGCAATTTGTCTAACGCCCTATAGTTTAATTTTGTATAATACCATACTAACTTTATATAATTTTTAAATATAACTTTATATAATTTACGAAATTTTTGGCTGTTATTTGTGACTCTATGAAGCTTAATTAAGTTACTTGGAATTAATACACCATATATTTTTAGTTTTTTAAACAGTTGCTGCTAATTTATATATATTACACTAATATAATGTTAAAACTAATTCATTATATTATTATTATTATTAACTTATACATTACCTTTAGATCTTAAAATCTTAGCATCATTATTCTCACTTTTGATAAATTCTATGCGAAAATCGACCGGAATATCTTTAGCACCAGGTGGTTTATAATTCCAAGTTCTATTCGTTAATAATTCGCCAGTTGTTTTTTCATAAACTATCTTTTCCGAAAGCCAATATCCCAGACCCATCACAAATGCTCCTTCAATCTTAAACAGATAATTTAAATGTCATATATAATTTTAGTGGAGTTTGTAGACATGCACATATCTTCTTCTTCTTATATATAAAAATTAAGCTCTCGATCAAATTTGCTAAAACTCGAAAACGGCTGAACCGATTTGGCCAGTCTGAGTCTTGAGTTTGTAGTTTTATTTGTTAACGTAAACAAAAACGTTATTAAACGGGCCTCAAGTGTTACTATAAAATCGAAATATCAACTTTTTTGAAATGTTAATATGAAAATGTACTTTTCGGCATATTTTTTTCAAACACGGTGCTCTGAAATATCTCATTTATAATTATGTACTAATTGGTATTTATAAAACATTTTCTGGGTTATATTATTTTTTATTTATGTTAGAACCTAAATTTGGTATCGATCAGAGGGACATTTTGTCGAATAACATTTTCCCAGTTATAATTTCCAAGAATTTATTGAAAAATAGATAGTAATATATGAAGGTCCGGGGTTAAAAAGGTCCACCACCGATGTATCAAAAGCCAGTAAAGTTAAGCAGTGTTTAACAACAATATTTGAAAGTAAATAGAAAAAGATGTATAATCAGCTATAACCTTGATACTCATGACTTCGCTATCGGGATATAAACGGTAATTTTTGAAAATCCATAATAAAAGTATTTTCTTCCGTTGGTAGTTTTTTAGCATTAGTTAAAAATGTAATTATTTTGTAAAATACTTTTAAAATTAAAATAAGACATTAAACCTGTTTGCCACCTGGCCGTTCCAAGTTACTTCGCCTATAGGGTAAAAAGGTCTAGATAACAAATTTTTGAAAAACAGCAAAAAAGCACATTTCTACAATGATGAAGTAGCTGACAGTTTTACTGAACGTAGTAATTGTTCGTTTGAAATGTGTCATTTGTTGTGATATAATTGGTTTTGTTTTCATTATATAATTTATATTTGCTCAAAGGGAAATTGGACCTTTGGCCTTGCCCTGCTCTACATATATACTTTTTATTAGATTTACTTTAATTCATCGAATTTTATTAGAAACTTTTCAAAAAGCAGGCCAAAGAAGAAATACTTAATTCATTTTCTATCTCTCCTCGCAGAAATTTGAAAATTTTGTATAAGCTCAGTAGTGTTATTTACAATTATACACCAAATCTAGAATCTGAAAAACTTGAAACGTAATCAATAAGTCGGAAGACCAAAATTGGCTTGGATTGGATTATACCATGTTTTCTATAGAAAGTATATAAAACTTCCAGTTCGATTGTATTGGGGTTTATTGTTTTTATAATACCTCATTGTATATAGCATTCAAACAACACATCCATAAACACTTAAAGTATCAATATTTTTGATTCTCTAGAAATAGTTCAGGATATACCTTACTTAGCAAAACAACGTTAGCCGGGTCAGCTAGTTTGTATATAAAATAGTACAATGAAATATATGATATTTTAAGAGTATTTGATATTTGATGTATTTCCTTATTATAACTATTATAGATATAATTAACAAATTCATGCAAAATGAAAGTTAATATCATTACAATATTTGCTGTAATACTCACAGGTTAGAACATTATATCAAACATCTCAGCGAAAAAATTAAAGTTATGAATGCATTGATGTAAAGCAATATAGTTCTAATAATGTTCTATGAGTAATGTAGTATGACGGTTTTTAGAAATATATTTAAAATCCATACTTTCCATAATTTAAAATTTAAATTGATTGCCACTGAATGAACGCTAAGATGCTAGCCGAAACGTATGGATTTTAAATAAATTTCTAAAAACTTTCATACTATTTTTATTGATGTACGCCCGACTTTTTAACTCAAATTAAATATATATATATATATATATATATATATATATATGTATATACGAGGTGTGTTCAAAAAGTACCCGGAATTACTAATAATTAAATTTCGCGGGTCTGGAGTGTCTGATTGTCAAAATTTTTTTTTATTGTGTTGGTATACATGCCCCTAAAGTATGATGAAATTTTCAGCTATATTCACTGTTTACTTTGTCTGTGGTAGTCGCTAAGGTTCGACGTGTTTTTCTGAGCTCGGCGATTTTTACAATGGAAGAATTGAAAAGTCAAAGAATTTGTATTAAATTTTGCGTAAAAAATGAAATAAAGTGTTGCAAAGTGCAAAAATTCACCAGATATGGCTCCGTGTGACTTTTTCCTATTCCCAAAGTTGAAGAGACCCATGAAAGGACGGCGGTTTTCCTCGATTGAAGAAAATCGCTGAGAGTGCTCAAGGACATATCAAAAAGTGAATATCAAGGGTGCTTCGAAAATTGGAAAAAACGCTGGCATAAGTGTATTATATCTGGGGGGGACTACTTTGAAGGGGACCACATTAATGTAGACGAATAAATAAATATTTTTTTGAAAAAACGAAAATTCCGGGTACTTTTTGAACAGACCTCGTATACGGATATACCTGTCCTATATCCACTTCAGGGCTCAAACTTTCCCCAGTCTCCTGTTGAATATCTACACGTTGCAATAATACGTTGCCTGATAATAGATCAATTTCGACCTCACAAGCCGATAAACCATATATTTCATAAGAAACCTTAGTGGCGTCTGGTTTATGTCTATGAATAATTTAATATAATTATAAAGTAACCTAATAATATAAAAGATATAACAAAATAATTTTCACTACTAACGATCCAATCGCTTGTAAATCGATTTGTTGCAGATAAGCATTTTCCACTAGATCTTCCCATTTTGTATCATCTCCAAGTGAATCTCGTATCGGCTTTAAACGATTAAGTATAGTTTCGCATGCTTTCATTGCCGCCTATTGGAATAACTAGGATATCAAGCAGCAGTAATATTCTTAAAACAGTATATGTATATACATATATAAATTTTTTTCCATAGACACATATTGTATAATTAAAGTTTGCATTTTTGTATTTAATTAAAGTAATTTTCTAATTAAACCTGCAGTGTTTGATGAACGGCAAGATAAACTGTAGGCGAATTAATTGATTAACAAATCTAACAAATATTAGGTGAACAATACCATTCGCCATATAATTATTTAGCATTGATAAATAATAAATTATAACTTTAATTTATTCGAAAATATATTATTAAAACACTTACGAATGCGCAAGATTCGCTCGTAGTATTACCACCTGTGATCATCGAATTTGGGCATTCCATAGTACTCATGGGCTTTATTGAAATCAGGTCGAGTGGCAACTTTAAAGTATAAGCACATACTTGAGCAACCTATGAATGAAATCATGAAGCAAAGAAAATAATT